TAAAGAAATTTTTATTTTTATAATCTTTATTAATATTATAATTTAATTCATTAAAAAATCATATCTTTTCTCACTTCCCTTTCATATTTTTCTTAAATCAAAGATACCCCCTAAACCTTTCGAAATTGAAAATGGGTGGAAGTCGAAGCAGAAGACTCTAAGCAACAATTTACTTACACGGGTGATTAATTAATATTGTGTGTCCTATCGTTATAATAACTTATAAGAACCGTATCACGTTTTGTTATAAAATTTAGATGCCCCGCCATCATGATGTCCAACAAATTATTTTCATAAAAAAAAGTAAACGGCAAAGGCCTCTCGCGTAGTGAAAAAGGATGAGACTTTTGTTTGGCCTTTTGGAAGTTTCTATCCCAAAAGAGACTCCATCAACTTTCTATTTTTTGGAAGGGAAAGTTAGAAAAAAAGAAGAGAGAGTACCCAAGCAAAATAGAGGAAAAGGAGAGGAGCTGAAAGAAGAAGCCTGGTTGAAAAGGAGTACAATCCAAGCTAATTCTATTTTCAAGATATAGAATTTTATGAAGCTCTTAGTATAATGTTAAAAAAAAAAAAATATCTTTTCGACCAAAATTTGTAAGAAAATATTTACTATAATAAACAAGTTTCACCAAACAAGACTTTCTTCTGTCCAAAAGAATTTTTTTTTCTTTTTTTTTACTAACGAGGGGTTGGATCAAGTGGTAAGTGACTTGTTTTAGTTTAAGCAAGATCTTGAGTTTGAGATCTTTTGTATGCACCAGCCCCCGCTAAGAGACTCATCCACCATTTTTCATGTGCGCGACGTGGGTCGGGTCCGATTAGTCGGGACGAAACCTCATATATCGAGCGGGAAAAACAAAAAAAAGAATTTTTTTTTTAAAAAGAAGGCCTTAATCACCTACTTCTGTCATATATAGAGGCGTTAAAAAAAATAAAAAAACATAACAGAGGGCAATGACTTAATAATAATTTAATAAAAAAATTGCAATACCACGGGTGTGGTCATTGTGAACATAAAAAATGTGAAGATTGTTAATTTTTTAAATAATATTTAAAAATATGAATTTATTAAAATGATATATTTTGAAAATAATTTTTTAAGATAAATGGATGGACATATAGATATATAGAAAGAGGTATTCACTTATATACTTATAAGTAAATTTTACACACCACAATTTTACAAAACTTGACAAAACTCTGAGGCTAGCATTGTTAATATCAGCGAGGAACCAAGGGCAATTGGCTGTTTGTTATTACATCTTTCGAAGGGATTTCAGCAACTGTTGCTCTCATTGTCTTTTGAAACGCATTACCAAAAATGCTGATAGTCTTTGAATTGGAAAACGTAACTCTTGTACTTCATTTAATAAAATTTTACTTTCCCTGTTAAAGAAAAGAAAAGGGAAAAATGCTGAAAGTATACTTTTGCTGAAAGACCTTAGCCCTGTATGAGCTTCTTGTTTCAGTTTGATGGGTTGAATGTCATCCTCATCTTGCATTTTCCACGCCATACCTCCGGCACCAGCTGCATGCCTGTTCACTAAAAGTACCGGCAGCTGGCTATAATCCCTGGAGGCTGAAGTTTTTGCTTTCAGGCTAAATGACGGTATCAAGGACGCCAGTGATAATGCCATCTCACCAAATCCCTCAGCTGGCCTTTCACTTGACCCTGGAATTTTGGGGTATGGGATGGTGGAGAACTAGCAAATTACAGTTTTTGCATACCTAACAAGACAAGCAATCCATACTGGGATTAAAGAAGTCACAAAGAATCATCTTATTTTTACTCCAAAAATCTGACTCTAAATGACTAAACAAGATACATGACAAGGTAGACAATCCATGCTGGGATTAAATGTCACAAAGAATTATGTTCTTACACACAAAATCCAAAATCTAACTCTAAATAACAGAGATGCAAATCTAGTTGTCAAACTAAAACCAATCCTTTCAGAAATCCAAAATTCTACCCCTTATTTTCACTCATCTACATCTTCAAGAGATAAAAGAAGATACAGTGATTTTACAGTACTTTTTCTTATCCAAGTGCAGACATGGTTAGTCCTCATAACCGAATTCTGGCAATTTCCAGTCTTTCAAATTCAATAATGCAGGCCAAGAACATAACATTTATGCCAGAATTCTCCAAAAACTTTAAGAACAGAAGATGGAAAATTTTAACATGTCTTCTCTTCATCTCCTGTCTTGTTTTCCTTTCTACATATAAGCTCAAAAGTTGTTGGGTTGCTCTACAAAAGAACGACTTTTGATTCTCAACCATGACTTGGTCTAAGTGGCTCAAGTCTCCCCAGTGGTTGTCATCTCGAGAACAAATGAATTACCTCAAAGGGAGAGCATATTTGGGGGAGATTGCGGTGAACCAGTCTCAAGTAAAAAGCTTCTGCTACAATATGACCTAGATGTACTTGAAGAAGAAGGAAGATATCTTGCATCCCCACTGTGAAAAATAGGCCCACTCCTATGTGATTTCCCTCTACTAGTTCTTCCCTTCCCTTCATTTCCTTCATACTCTTCATCTTCCACAGCTTGTATAAATCCACTTTGCATTGGGTCTGAACTCTCATACAAAAGCCGGAGAACCTGTTTGATGGAAGGCCTAGAACGGCCTTCTCTCTGGGTGCACCATCTCACAATGGTCACAACCATCTGAAGTTGGTCTAAGTCAAAGGATTCCTTAATTCGGGGGTCTACAAGCTCTGTTACTCTTGCCTCCGATGCCAAGAAAAACTGGGATGATTCTACTAAATTCTTGCCATCTTCTACTGCCCGCCTTGCAGTCACTATTTCCAGCAATAGCACGCCATAGCTGTAGATATCACTTTTCTCAGTGAGCTCTTGAGTGACCACATATTCAGGATCCATGTAACCTGAAAGCAATCCAATATTTAGAACTTGTCAGTAAACCATAAGAGTAAATCATTGTTCAAGGTTTGAGTAATTTGTCAACTGGCCTGGAGTTCCCCTGATATCAGTGTTAACTGGTTCAAAGCAAATTGAACCATCTTTTGAAGCATGGGCAAGGCCAAAATCTGCAACCTGAAAGATATAATTTAAGAAGTGCATTGATTTGTCATTATTGACACTTCCGTGGTAAGAAGAAATTTCGCAGATGATACAAAAGAAGTTTTCAAGAAACTCTTCTTCAAACATTCGTATTTTTCAGAACAGCTTTTTTGTGCTTCCAAAGACACTTCAGAACAAAGTATTTATTTCTTCTTTTTCTTTATTTATTTTTTGAGAACAATAGATAACCTACTTCTTTTTGGCCATTACAGGTACCGACTATTCTTGTGGAAATCAAAGAGTTCATAGTTTGTTATTCCCAGGGGTTTCCTTGGGAATTGAACTAGGCAAAACATCAAGTTGCAATAGGCAAGAGAAAAAATGGATCCAACATATACACTACCTTTGCAACAAAATTCTCATCCAATAAGATGTTGCTTGATTTGATGTCTCTATGACATAGTGGTGGATCACAATAGAAATGGAGGTACTCCTGCAAAGGAAGGAGACTTGAATGATTCAACTAGAGAAGGGTTTCAAATAGACAAATCTTAACAAGTAATGTAATGAAACTGATCTCTGAGAAAAAAAAAAAGGAAGCACCATTACCAGAGCGTTAGCAACATGAATGGCAATTTGGATTCTGGTCTCCCAACTCAGAGGAGACCTTCCTGGGGCTGCAAAATGAGGTTGAGCCTAATTAGAACTCCAAATAGTGAACAAATGATGCACATGGAAAATGCGTTAATATAAAAAAATATGCAGAAGAATACAGAGAAGCATACAATGAAGATGATCCTTTAGGTTCCCATTTGCCATAAACTCATACATGAGAAACCTGTGGAGAAAAACGGAAAGGTATATATTTGTGGGAAATGAGTCAAAAGTAAAGACATGAATGCAAGAATGAAATACCTGTCATGCTTTTCAATGCAAAAGCCTTTTAGAGCAACAAGATGACGATGATGCAACCTGGCAAGAAGTTCTATCTCTCTGCAAAATTCATCCTCTGCCTGCTCTGAAATGTTGTCCATCCGCTTAACAGCTGCTACTGAACCATCACTAAATTCAGCCTTGTACACAGTCCCAAATCCTCCACGTCCAACGACAGTGCTAAAATTTTCAGTGGCCTTCTTTGTTTCCCTGTAGCTGTATTTTCGGAACATTGATGAAGCACCTGCAATTAGCACCAATTCTGATCAGCCTACTCACCCCACCTTGGAAAGAAAGAGGATTTTTATTACATGCTAATATCAATCAACAAGGGTCAATAAGAAGAAAATCAGAAACATACCTTCTTGAATTTTTCTCATGGGCCGAAGAGAAGGAAAAAGTTTTGAAGGATTCTTATCCATACTCTCAGAATCCTTTAGCTCTCTGCTTTTCTGGCGAATGAGAACTATCAGAAACAACAGCATGATGACGGCCACCAGCGTAACTGCAATGCCAACACCTTGAATTAACGTCAGGTGGTAGGAATGGTGTTTTTGTTTTAGAGGTACCCCCAACATGAGTTGACTTGGACTGGCAGCTAACAATGGACTTGGAGAAGCCTCCGGCACAAGCACAGAGGGGGATGAATCTGACACTATCATCAGAATTTCAGCCAAATATTAGATATAGATCGATGGAGTGGATGGAATTTCATTCACAGTAATCAGCAAAAACCACCACATAACATAGACAACAGATTTTAGTTAACAGAAAAGTAAGTCATTTATAAGGTTGACATAGGAACAATCTAAAGCCTTAATTT